TGGAGTAGTGAAAAGTGGCCTGCTATCAAGTGGTGTGGGGATCCAGTCCCGGATCATGTACGCATAGGCCAAGTTCCGGTCAGGCTTCCCTATTTCCAAGGTCAATTGATTGGTACCGGACTCGTCTATAAAGACAAAAACAAACTGATTCCTACATCGGATGCCCACTACCAGTCATTGCCAGAGACCGAATCATGTTGGAATATCACCAAGGACTAACTGGAAATCAACGGAGTAGTGTAAAAGCATTGGGTACGCTTTCTAGGACGGCAATGGTCGTTGCTCGAGAAGATGGAGTGTGAAGCTAGGCAGGAGCAATACCCATCGAGCGGGGGGGGGGCGGGGGGGGTATTGCCGCATTGAAGTCTGAGGCTCTGAGGCTCAAGGACTAACCATATGCTCCGCCAACTATCACATGCTCCGCCCACAAATCAGTGTTATTTTGCTTTACCACAACTGTAATGGGGGTTTTATTTTTGGCCTTATAGACAACTTTCCGTTTTTCATTACTGGCGTACTTCTCACATCTCCGCTGTTATTCGAAAGTGCAGTAGCACATCAGTTCGATGAGTGACTTTATATTTTAGGGGAATTTATCGCGTCTCGCAGTTTCGGGCGCTAGAAAAAGTTCAGACGTGAATTGAGCACCATGAAGGTTTGCGAATTAGATGGCAAGCAACTAAAATGAAAAAGTCACTCTAGAGCGCTCCAAACGGTGTATTCAGTGTGCTGGTGCGATGTGTGAACGATTCTCTGAACAGTGTGCAGGATTTTCATTCCACCGGTAGGAATAAGATGTGCTGCGAGTGTTACGGAGATTATAAGGCAGTGTACATAACGCTGGAGGTCACCGGTGAAATGAGACCTGTATATTAGTTTGAGAATCGTCCACACATGCGCACCAACACATTTGAAAACACAGTATGGAGTGCTCTGCACTTTCATTTTAGTTGTCGACTAGTCAGAAGATGGCAGAGGTCTTGCCTCGTGTAGTGGAAGCGCGCGTTATTCTCTCATTCGTAAGCGTTATGAACTGGATTGTAATCGGTCTTACGATCACATTCGTGCCACCTTCAGGAGTCAATTGGCCCAGTCTGTCAGATAGTGTGCCATAAGTCGAGCCTTTCTCACCATCACGATTGTTAGTATGATAACAAGGACTCCTTCTAAAAGGTAAGTATCTGTTGTTCATTGTCTTCGTTCGTTTGAGTTCAGAGTATTGAAGTGTCAGTTTTTGTTGTGAGTTTGTGTGCGCTGAAATTCTAAATACGACATACAGGAGAATTATATTTTTTTGTAACTGCATTCATAGTTATCCCTTTTGAATATCGCTGAAGCCACCATTTTTACATGGTCAAGTTTTTGCGCTCATAAGCGTGCCAATAAGGGTGGGAACGTATATGAAAAAATAAAATCTTAGCTTTCTAACTTCGTGAGATTTCGAAGTATTTACTTAGTGCCATTGCCCCCGCGGCCCGCCCGGCCATTCGACGCTGTTGCAGGTTTTGAAGATGATTATGTAAGTTTGCCGCTAAATGAAGTAGTGCTTTGGATCGCTGGTCTGTTTCTGGATTTAGCTGTTCGTGTGGAAGGTAAGGCGTCTCTTTGGTCATCTACCATGAATTTTCTATCGGTACGAGATGTTATTGGTTTAAATATCCCTACTATATATAATGCGCTAAGTCTGTCTGTCTGTCTGTCCGTCTGTCACGAAATTCGGTATTAAGCGAACAACCTACAGGGTCCAGGTCAAGTTTGGGATGGGTGTACCATATCTCGAGAAGTAAAAAACACACATCAGCCAAGCGGAGCCCCGCCCACAGTGGGCGTGGCGTGCATCGAATGAGCGAACTGCAGATACATGGTTTAAAATTCAGCACAAACGCTTGGAGACGGGGGGAACCAGAAGTGGTATTAGGGTGTGCGAAAAGTGGGTGACTAGTGTGTACGTTGGTAAGCAGTTAAAGGAATCTTCCACGGACCATGGACCAGTGGGCGGGACCGGAAGTTTTTGTGACGAAATGCATGGTAGGTACGGATCCACGTGTCGAACGCACGAACGTGAACAGGATTCACTTCAAACCTTCCCATGAACGTGGATCCGTACCTACCATGCATTTCGTCGCAAAACCACTTCCGGTCCCGCCCACTGGTCCATGGTCCGTGGAAGATTCCTTTAAGTTTGGGAGACCCACCCTCGGTGGGCGTAGCGTTCTCTAAAGAAGTGGTGCTCAATGAAAACATTCGTAACTCGGTTGGGAGAAAGCCTACAGAGCAGAAAAGATATTAAGTGTAGAGAAGCAATTTCTAACAGGAGTGTCAGCAACGGTGGGTGTGGGACGCTTTTTCAAAACGGTTTTTTGCATGCCGTAGGGGCTCTCACGTAGACCACATTACTGTGTTCCATTTTCGCTGAGCGGCCCCCTGAAGGTCAGAAAAAGGTCGAAAAAAAGTTGGTAAGAATGGTGGTTTTCAGTGCCTTGGAGTGGTGCTTTGAACTTGTGGAAAAGATCACCCGCAAATTGAAGGGTACTGATGAAGACGGTATCGAAAACAGCGTGAAATTCGCTCAAAATTGAAGTCCTGTCAGTGGTAGTGCTGAAGAAATGTACGAGGGCTTCATAGGCGTAGTCGGCATATACACGCATCATACATGCAGCAGTGGAGAAGCGGTGGTCAAGTGGATAGTGTGTCCGCCTCGAGTTTGCACGGTTTGTGGTTCGAGTCCGCCCTACGGCAGCCATTTTGCATTTTTGATAAACGTTCCCAAACTGACGCAAAATTGCTTTAGAGTCAAAACTAACGCTATATTCACAGTCAGGACAACCAGCAGCTCTTACAAATGGATTTTCTATAAAAACTGGCGGGATAAGTTTGCAGCGCCAAACTGGCGCCAAATGGCGCCTACGCCAAAAACGAAAGACATATTCGTGATCAGGACTCTGATTTACCCCCATATGCTGGATTTCGGGAAAAATCGAGGTTTTGACCTAACTTCGCAAAAAGGGGTGACCATGGGCTACAGGTCGTCATGCACGCCAGCGGGCAACTTGAAGACGTGCGCGGCGCGGAAATCAAGCGAAATGCCTTGTTGGTTAACGAGAACCAATTTGTTTTATACAACATTTCCTCAGTCCCCAGTCTGTGAATCGATCAGTTATTCGAGATGCACGTGCGAGTGGAAGAGCCGTGGGTCCAATATACCACGTCCTGATGGAGGGAGGAATCTGTCGACTTCAAAATCATGGTGTCTTGTTGTCCATCACCAGCTTGGGTGTCTGCCATTGTCCATTTAGTATTGGAACTTCTCATTATTTGAGAAGGAGAACAAGGAATTCGTTTCCAGTTCACCAGCTGCAGGTACTTACGGGCTGACCTATCAATGGCCAATTTTTCGGACCAAGGTCAAAATCTCAATTTTCTCTAGAACTGCTATAATTTAGAGAATATCGAGTGCCCTGATCATGAATATGACATCAATCTTTTCGATAGCTTCACCCCCCCCCCCCCCCCCCCCCCTCAATTAGCGCCTTTTCGGCGCCATTTGGTGTCTTTTCGGCACTACAACTTTTTTCCGCTAGATTCTGGCAATAGTTTGAGTGCAGTACTCATTCATGGTCTTGATAATGAATACGGTACCTAATATTGGTGCTGGCGCTATTTTAAGCGAATTTCGAGGCTCCAGTCTGAATGCAAAAATTTTGTCATCAGAAGGGACTGAACCCTGGACCATTTCTTTACCATTTTTTAACCTTCAGGGGGCCGCTCAGCGAAAATGAAACATAGTACTGTAGTCCCCGTGAGAGCCTCTACAGCATGCAAGGAACCGTTTTGAAAAAGCGCTCCACACCCTGAACGACCTCCCTTGTTAAGGTATTTCCACACACGTGAGGCGAGTGGAGGCCCGCCCACAATGGGCGGAGCGTCTCCTAAGGAGTTTGCTACAAGAGGTCATAATCGGCTCAGATGCGGACTCAGAGAAGGGAAGTGAATAGAGGGTAGAAGAGGAGGGGAAGCTGAATGTCATAGTTGGGCGTGGCTTACACCAAAGTGGGCAGAGTTACCAACCAGACACATAAGTCGGTTCCTAGAAGTCCCGGGGCCGGGAAAATTGGTCATGTGCAGTTAGCTGACGAGCACGCAGTGAAAGTGGAGCGGAGTTTGTCACAACTTCTAACTCGGTTCGAAGTTACGGAGATGGGAAAAAAAGTAGATCGAGGTTGGGGAAGAGATGGAAGTCAACTGTTGTCGGTGGGCGAGGCATGCACCAAAGTGAGCGGGGTTCGTCACAAAGATACATAGCTCTATGGCTCTTTTTACGAAACCTCATAATTCGGCTCTCGGAAACGTATTAGAGACCGGAACAAACGTGTACAGAGGTTAGAGAGGAGGGGAAGTTGAAGGAATCTTCCGCGGAAAAAGCTCCGCCTCCATTACCACAGAAAAACGATACCCCTTAGGCCCCTAGCCTCATGAGCATAGCAAAAAGAACGGAACATAAGCGTTAGTTTCGATAATACTAATCCTACACACAAGACAAAATGATCACTCTTTCCGTGGAAGATTCCTTTAAGGTATCGTTTTCTGTGGTAATGAGGGCGGAGCTTTTCCGTGGAGGATTCCTTTAAGAAATCCAGGAACGAATCGCGGGTAAGGACCTATAATGACGTTGCAGGTGAGAAGTTGGTCAGTGGAGAAAGAAAAAGTAGAAAAAAACGTCGGGCAGGGGCTTAGACAGGGACTTCCCCTGCCGTTTAGGGAGACGTGTGTTGGACGAGTTGTAGATTCGGCGGTTTGTAGTCGCGTAGAGTTGTGTAAAGCTTGAATTTTGAGTTCTGAAGACTTAAGGGGTTCAGTAGGTGTTTAAGGTCGTAGTAGAAATGGGTGTTCGTTGAGGTCTTCAAAAACCGAAACTGTATTGGGGTGGATACTCTGAAATAATCTATGACACTGTCTGTACTCTTCTCTCAGAATAAAACCAAGCTGGGAAAACAGAACTGTTATTTGCGTTTCAGGCGTCTTCCCGTGTCACGCCGTGTACCGAAAGCAAACAAACGAACCTCTGGCTGCTTTTTCTGACCCGGTCCTGTCACGAGTAAACGCATGGATTTCGCGTCTTCGTCGGCGAAGCGCCGTATGCTTTCGTCTCGAAGTCTTTTTTCGGAAAGGTGAGATGCAGCGTTTGCGTCGGCGATAAGTCGCTCCGATCGTGAGACTCGTATTACTTGCCAACGACGAGAACCAATAGTCCATTCGTTCGGTGGCGATGTCTCCACCGTTGATGCCTCGTAGTCGGGTGCCTTATGGCAGTAGTCCTTGGCTGGGATTGGGCTGGCGACTAGCGGATAGATTCGTGGAATTTTGTGTGGTCGAATTCTTGGGATCGCACACGTGTCGTCCGGCCGAATCGTCAGCGGGACGTAACGTGTCGCTGGAAAAAAACATTATTTCGGATTTTTTATTAAAAAAAGTGTGCCGTTAGTAGTAGAGAGGGATAATAAAGGAACGTGGAACTTGAAAAATGTGAAAGATAAATCCATAATTATTTATAAATAGCTGGCACACGCTTTCAATCAGGCCTACAATAAATGAATGTTAGCGAATGTATGGCTCAGTCCTTTGAAGCTTACATACGGCGACAATACCTCCCTCCGTTGATTAAAATATAATGTAGTAGAAGGGACTATAGAACGTGACTATCACATCTGCTCAGCACGGTTCCAAGCAATCTAGATTTTCGTGTCGAAGAACGGATTCGTGGCTTACTTCAAGAAGCTTTCTAGTCAACGTATATTTTAACAATATAGTCTTTTTTGGAGGGGTGGGATTACGGTATCGGTCACGTCCAGAGCGCGCTGCTCTGCTTCAATCTGTGCCATGCTTTCGGGCCATTATCAGGATGAATCAATGTTTGCCCATGAATTACATAAAGCATTGTTGACCAAGCCAAAGAATAGTCCAGCATCTAACCTTGTGACCTTCTGCCTCACGTGGCTTTATCTAAGGTCACGTCAGACCAAAAAATTAAACCAGTGACATGTCAGTAGGGTTCTGAAGGAGCTTATGGCAAAGGTGCGCTCCCGCAAGCTTCCCAACGCGTCAGTGGTAAACAAGCAATGAGAGTGGTACGGTATATGAGGTCATGGGCTTGAAGTACTCTAACGTAAACTGTAATGCTCAAATTGATTCCTAGATCAAAGAATGTTGAATACATGTGTGTGGGTGGGGCGAAGAAAAGGTCAACACGGACAGTTAATAGGATTCCGAAGTGAGTAGGCTAGATTAGCCGTAATTCATAATAAGGTCTGAAAGTTCGAACACGTTTTAAAATCTAGATTTTTGCTGAAATATGCCATTGAAGCATGGCCTTCAGATTTCATGGCATTTTGTTCTGCAACATCAAAATGGAAATCTAAGTGGAAATTTAAGACAGAAATGCGATGCTTGACTGTATTATATTACAAACTCGTTTAAAGGCGTTCATGCTTACAGCTTGTCTCAAGCAAAAACGGATGTCTTGAGATAGAAGAAAGAAAGAAAGGAAATGAAGAATGGGAAATGTGCTGAGGCACGAATCCTTTTGCATTGCATTTCTTCAGCATCAAGTGATGGTACTGGCATGCTACCGAAGCTCCGAAGGAGACTCTGGATCGAGTTGGACAAGTCCCCAACAAAGCCTTTTCTTTTCCCCACTGGGCTAGTTATTTGGTGGCAGACTTGTCTGGGTGGATAAAAACTCTGCCCTTATGCTGGCCCTCGTAGGTTATTGCATTGATTGAATGAAATTCAAACTTCACTCGTTTCTGCATGGTAATGGAGTACGTGGCGTGTTACGAAAAAGGCTGGTCAGCGCCTAACGCTTCAACTTTATCCTTTTTAATGCAGGAGTAACTCTAGCAAGGCAATGGGTGTCATTTGTCATTTGTGGTGTGTAGGATCGATTCCAAAAGAGGAAACGAGTTTCACTCCAGCTAGGCTCATTTTTGGCACAGGCATGGGTGGTACACTTGACCGAATAAACGTTGCTAATGAAGTTAGCGACTCTCGTATTCAAGGGCTGTTTATACATCCAGCCATTTCGGTAATTCCAAACGAGATTCCAAAGAAAAAAGGAAAAAAAAACACCCCTCTTCCTTAGAGGTAGAATTAGCAAAAGTGAATGCCACATAGCGGCTATGATGTTCGGTTCTTCGACCCCGGGGATTCACTCACGCATCAGGCTGATCAAACATTTCGGGTAATCATAAGTTCCAAATATGTATGTCCCGCTATTTGACGACATATGCAAACATATGTCCAGTTCAAATGGTGGTTTAAGAAGTAATTTTGAATGATGGCAGGCACAGATTTGAACGCGAGAACTTCCCCCGGCTTCAAGTGTGTGTCGCGGAGCCCGCGTTGGGAATAGTTTTCTTTGTTTTGGGAAAGGGTTTGTTGCAGGGTCGCTTGGGGAGGTTTGCCAATGAGTTTCTGAAATTCAAAAGATTTTTGTAGCGTTCTAGAAGATATCTCGAACTTTTCACTAACTTCTATCCTCTCATGGTTGGGTGTGCATACCCGTACCTGATTGTTTGGTCGAGAATTTCGGAAAAGGAAATTAATGTCGCAAAGAGGAAGTTAGATACCAATTTTTATGGTCAGAGTGTATCCAGAATACCGAGAGTTCATAATCACGGAAGATTTCTTTGGGAAAACGAGAAGTTTTTTTTGTTAGTGAAAAAACGTGAAGATCAAAAGAAAACGATTTTTCACGGAGAGCTTTTGCATCCTGAATGTGTGAAAATTCTTGACGCTGTGAGTATTATAATCCAAAAGGGAATGCGGCGCCTGCACATACAAATTGGGCACCCAGCTCATTTTGCCAAGTGTTTTGTAACTCTTCCGTTGAGCCCTCGAATTTCATCTTTCGTTGGTGAATGCCGTGGGTGTATAGGTAGTTAGTTACGGTAAATGGAAAAGCGGAAAACAGTATTTGGGAACTACGTCGTACTCAATTCAAATATAAAGTTTTGAAAATAAATACAGGAATAAGAGCGGAAGTACTCACATCTGGCCATGTACGGATGTCAGTTGACAGTAAGAATAACGAAGACCAGCAAGCGAACGACGACAGGCAGCGACCGCGTAGTCGTCAGTGGCGCACCTTTTAGGCAAACAGCCATCGCTGCGCAATAGCTTGTGATTCATGCACTTCTTCCGAAACCGACGAAAAAACCGCTCAGCACCAAAATCCGCATTGATTTCTTTGATTATCACCGTACTTACACATCGCTGCTTAGCATTCTATTGCATACCACAGAATCCGGGCGTGAACAGCTTTTTCCACAAATCTGACCACTCGCGTGTTTCTGCAAGTATTGGACATCTTATTCAATGGGAGCAGCAATCCTGTGTAGAGTAGGGGTTTTGCTTCAAGACAGGCTTGTGATTCCTTTCAGTGAAAAGGAAGTGTAAGGTCAAGAGGAGCGAAGCAAATAGCTCTTTGAATTCTGTGAGAATGCGCATTGACTTGATTTTTCGACCCCATGGAACTATTCTCCTACTATCATAGGAGAATGGAACATATTTGCTGACAAAATTTCAAAAACGCACTGGCAGGCTCAACTATCTTTTACAAGACTGTACCTTGATTACCATAGCCTCGCGGTGCCTTTCCTATTGCGCCACTTATTATCGGAACCAGGGATTTTTCTTGTGTGGTTGATTGCTTGCTTACACTGGGTAAATATTAGGAGACTTGAAGTTTGAAGGAAGATGGTGATAATCCGATTACCTATTGAACTTGAAAGCTGAATCGGTAAGTGGTGAAGCGGTGATGAAAAAATTCAAGAAAATGGCCTAAAACTCCGGAAACATTGCACACAAAAGGCTACACTCGGAAGGCAAAGGACTAGCTGCTAGGGCAGCCAACCATGCAGGCAGAGGCACAAAGGGATCCAGAGACGGGGGAAGCCTTTGTCTTCGTTGAAGGTGCACCCTTCTTTGTGGAAGCATCAAGCTCCGTTGCTTTAGCCGCCTTTTTCCCTTTGCAACAGACAAAGTTCTGCATTTCAAACATCCGAATTGTTGTGCCATCTGCCTTTAGGTTTTGTGTGGCCACACATGAGAAGGTGCTGCTCCTACCGTTCAAATTCATTGTGCAAAGAAACCTACGACTATTAGGTCTTCTTCACAACATGTCACAATCAGTTATCGTCAATATTGAGACTTTTGTTAGATTTGGCGCCGCAGTGCTTGCAGTTATAAAGCACACACAACATACGGTCCTTGTTATCTTCGTAACTGGATATGCTTTGAACCCATCCAAAGGCTTATCTTTTTTTCGGAATTGTAGGAAAGATCGAGTAATTTTATTTATTATAGAATGGAATGATAAGAGATCATTCCTTGTTATAATAATTTAGAAAAAAAAAGAGATGGAGTAGTGAAAAATGGCTTGCTATCAAGTGGTGTGTGGGGATCCGGGGATCCAGTCCCCGGATCATGTACGCATAGGCCAAGTTCCGGTCAGGCTTCCCTATTTCCAAGGTCGATTGATTGGTACCGGACTCGTCTATAAAGACAAAAACAAACTAATTCCTACATCGGATGCCTCCTACCAGTCATTTTCCAGAGATCGAATCATGTTGGAATATCACCAAGGACTAACTGGAAATCAAACGGAAGTACGTAAAAAGTATTTATTTTGGGACGCTTTCTGGAACGAATAAGCCCTGCGCCGGAGAAAATGAGGATGTAAAACGCTAGCGCAGGGCCACATTGCCCACTCGATGCCTCAACTGAACAAGCTAGAGGCTCTGAGGCTCAAGACTAACCATATGCTCCAGCCAACTATCACATGCTCCGCCCACAAATCAGTGTTATTTTGCTTTACCACAACTGTAATGGGGGTTTTATTTTTGGCCTTATAGACAACTTTCCGTTTTTCATTACTGGCGTACTTCTCACATCTCCGCTGTTATTTAAAAGTGCAGTGGCACATCAGTTCGATGACAGACTTTATCTTTTAGGGAATTTTCATCGCGCCTCGCAGTTCTGCGCTAAGAAAAAGTTCGAGTGAATTTGAGCTCCATGAAGGTTTGCGAATTAGATGGCAAGCAACTAAAATGAAAAAGTCACTTTAGAGTCGCTCCAAACGGTGTATTCAGTATGCTGGTGCGATATGTGTGAACGATTCTGTGAACAGTGTGCAGGATTTTCATTCCACCGGTAGAATAAGATTGCTGCGAAGTGTACTAGATTGTACATACCCAGTGAAGAAGGGCGGAAGTGGTGTAGTGGCAAGTGGCACGCTCACCACGTGAGCGGGGGTGTTCTGAGGTGCAAAATCCTTCTCATCATCGGCTTGAATCATCGCTGTGTTTTTGAAGGGCAACGCTCAGAGTAAACTTTAAGCATGCCTCATTTGTTCTTTCGTGCTTTGTTCAGGCTAGCATGAGGAAACAAAAGAAAAGGATAGTAAAAATAAGAGAAGAAGAGCAAGAGCAAAAAGTGGGACACCTTGGATGGTATGCGTACATTTCTCACCCTTCATCCTTCACTCTTACGTCTGAATTTAAGAATCTGCTTTCATACTTGTCTCATCGGTTTATTTTTTCAAAACTATTCTGTCACTGCATTACTTCGACACCTCTTTTTCTCTTTACTTCTTCAGTTTTTCGTATAGATTTGTATTGATTTGTTTGGTTTTTGACTGTCCTAAACTTCTAAGCTTGCAATCTTATCATTTTTTGTTGCGCTATAACTATACAGTCCGAGTTGAGCTTGTACGTTTATTAATTTTGCAACCAATCTTCCCCACAAATACAGTGAAAATTTTTGGGTTTTTTTTTCGATGAAGTGTTTTTTAACATTGCGGGTAAACTATTTATACAGTGACCCGATTAACTGCATAGCTAAAAGGAGAATTCCATATCAGCGCGATTTTAACTCTCCTATTGTTAGTAGGGCCTTGGTATTGTATCAAATAAAATAATATAATATAAATAAAAGGGCGGAAGTGGTGCAGTGACAAGTGGCGCGCTCACCACGCGAGCGGTCCGGGATCAATTCCTGGGTCGTGAGTCGCCCGGGCCAACCAAGCCTTCCATCCCTCCGGGGTCGGTTAATTGGTACCAGACTTGTCTGGGAGGCGGTTGGTACCTGTCTGGGAGGATAAAAACACTGACTTGAACATCGGCTGGCCCCCGCAAGTCATTGTATAGGCCACATCGCATTCAAAACGCCACTGCGAATGTACAAATGGAAGTAGAATGCGTGCCGCATCCCAAAAAGGGATTGATCAACGGCAAATGCTTTATCCTTTATCCTTTAGAAGTGGGCTCAATTGAAAATATTCATAACTCGCTGGGAGAAAGCCTACAGAGCAGAAAAGAAATTAAGTGCAGGGAAGCGATATCTAAAGTATTTCCACACACGTGACGCGAGTGGAGGCCCGCCCACAATGGGCGGAGCGTCTCCTAAAGTAGACGTTTCCTACAAGAGGTCATAAATCGGCTCCAAGATGACTCAGAGAAGGGAAGTGAATAGAGGGTAGAAGAGGAGGGGAAGCTGAATGTCAGAGTTGGGCGTGGCTTACACCAAAGTGGGCGGAGTTTCAACCAGGCACATAACTCGGTTCCTAGGTAGTCCCGGGGCCGGGAAAGTGGATAGGGTGAGGGGAGGGAAGGGGGTCAAGTGCCGTTAGGCAGGCGAGGCACGCGTTAAAGTGAGCGGAGTTTGCTACTAAACTTCATAACTCGGTTCCAATAAGTTCCGGAGATGGGAAAAAAGTAGATCGAGGTTGGGGAAGAGATGAAAGTCAACTGCTATCGGTGGGCGAGGCATGCACCAAAGTGGGCGGGGTTTGCCACAAAGATACATAGCTCGATTTCGTCCCCTACAAAACCTCATAATTCGGCTCCGAAACGAATTAGAGACCAAAAAAAACGTGTACAGAGGTTAGAGGAGGAGGGGAGGTTAAAGGAATCTTCCGCGGAAAAAGCTCCGCCTCCATTACCCAGAAAAACGATACCCCTTAGGCCCCTAGCCTCATGAGCATAGCAAAAAGAACGGAACATAAGCGTTAGTTTCGATAATACTAATCCTACACACAAGACAAAATGATCACTCTTTCCGTGGAAGATTCCTTTAAGGTATCGTTTTCTGTGGTAATGAGGGCGGAGCTTTTTCCGTGGAAGATTCCTTTAAGTGTAAACGCCGGCTTGGCACATACCGAAGTGGGCAGCGCTCTCATAACTCGGTTCCTAGAAGTTCCGGCGATGGGAAAAAATGTGGATAAGGGTTGAGGGAGGGAAGGGGTTGAATGCTATTGGTGGGCTAAGCATGCACCAAAGTGGGCGGGGTTTGCCACAAAAATACGTAGCTCGATTCGTCCCCTACAAGACCTCATAATTCGGCTCCGAGATGACTTAGAGACCTGAAAAAGTGTATAGAGGTGAGAGGAGGAGTAGAGGTTGAATGTGAACGCTGGGCGTGGCACACCCGAAGTGGGCGGAGTTTGCACCACTCTTATAACTCGGTTCCTAGAAGTCCCGGCGACCGGGAAAAAGCGGATAAGGGTTGGCGGAGGGAAGGGGTCAACCGCTGTTGGCGGGCGGAGCATGCACCAAAGTGGGCGGAGTTTGCTACGAAATTCATAACTAGGTTGAAAGAAGTTCCGGGGACCGGGAAAAAGTGGACTGAAGTTAACGAAGAAAGGAGGGTTAAAAGCTGTTGGGGCAGGGGTCACCGGAGTGAGCGGAGATTCCACTCGCCGTCATAACTCAACACCCTGACGACCCTTAGTAGAGGAAATCATTGCACAGAAGCTAGCAGTGGAGGGAGGTGAAATGCGATTAGTGCATCGAAGTGGTTAGCGCGAAGATCCGCTATGGCATTATCAAATATTGGTAGTGTATCGGGCCAAGTTTGAGAATTTACGCCGTTCCAATCCACATCGCCGCAGAACTGTGTGATGCACGCGAATGCGTGCGCAGCTAAAGCTGGTAAAAAATAAGGCATTTGTCGTCGACAAATGCGTATTTAGCATGCGTCACGCATACCACTTCTACTCAGG